GTATAAATATGACTTTAGAAACTTATAGAGTATATATAATATAATATATTGCAATTTAATTAATTCGAATTAGACTCTATAAATATATATTTAAAGAAATTAGAAGTATCTACAATTTTATTATTTGTTTTTTATTAGAATTGAAATTACTCGTCTATAATACTATTAGCGATTTTCGATCTATTAGAGAAGATAGATATAATAGAATCAATAAAATAGCTTCAATAATAGAATAATCAATCTCTAACTTTATTAAATCGAAATTCATTATACAAACGATCTATTATAATTAAAATAATTAAGATATCGAAGATTATATTAGTTACTCGTAGAGTTATATAAGAAAAGAGCTCTAGTTATTATAAAACTCGTTTTATTGTTAAACTCTTTGGATATTAGGAAGAGTTTTGAACGAAGGATTGATTGATAGATGGATTTTATAGAAAGTATCTAATTATCAATAAAAAGAACTACATCGCTCATGTCTTGAATCATAATTTATTGAGTTTATATAACAAATCAAGCGTCCAAGCTGACTCCTAGTGTTCTAGCCAAACTCATGATCTCCTTCTTATATGCACCACGCGCCCCCTGGTATTCAGCGTTTAGAATACCTGTAGTCTCCATATATAGCTTCTGGACCTGAAGGAATTTCTGGAAATGGCTCTGCATATCAACAAGAAGACGTTTCCCGGTACTGTTGATATCTCTTGATGTCTCGCTCATGTTGACAGCTTTTCGGTCGCCCATCAACAACTTCAGAAGAGTTCTGGCGCGCATAGTATTGTGCAGGTACTCCACTTGCACCTGCATTCCAGCTTCGTGTGCCCTCTTCTCGGCTATCTGTGATTCGTTGTCAACATTGATAAGTTGGACCTTGACCTCTTTGAGCTTTTGTTGGCGACGATGATACGCATGATCTTCAATGGATGACTGCGGGGCCATGTTGTATGGAGGGTGTGTGTATCTGCAGGGATCGGGTGTGGTATTTGGTAGATGGCGGGACTAAGTATGGAGCTGTGAGATCTATTTCACCACAGGAGAGGATGGGTGGATCGGCTTGTTCGGTGTCTGGAAAGATCCTGAGGTCCAGTTAGCTGATATTGGCACGACAAGAGTAAGTGGTCAACTTTACAAGATTTTTTTAAAGTGTTGGATAGGCTCGTTAAGTATGGTTGTGTTATGTGGATGGACATATTAATAAGAGATTGGGAGATAATAGGGCAAGTAGTACATATTTAAGTAAAGATGTTGAAGCTAAGCATTCTTGAAAACAATAAATATGGAGTGAAAAGTTACTCAGAAAGGATTCGAAAGTGATTCGAAAATAAATCCAAAGCAAATTGATAATGATTCATTATTTCCTTCAAAACACTAATACAACCCTTCAAACACCAAATACAAATGACTAGCGAAAATGAATATTCATTCAATACAATGACTAGTGAAAAGGAATATTCATTGAAATTGAGACAATTGACATAGATATAACGGAACTAGATAGCATACACTTCAAAAATACACCCGCCTTATATACAACCCCCCTCCCTCCCTTATTGTCACTCCTCTCTCCTCTGACATATTCAAGGGGTATGTCGATACAAGCAAAGTGTATAGAAGATAGCTAGCCTTCTCACTAAGAAAAAATGCAACTAATATATAGATAACAATATGCAATATACTCCTTCCTCATCTTGAGTATGAGTATTTAAAGTTACAGAAAACTATCCAGTACCGAAAGGTTATTGAAAGAATTATATCACGTAAATTTTGAATATATTCAAAAGGTATTCAGTATTCAAAGTAGAACATTTTGGAATAGATATAAAATAAACGGAGTCCGAGGATTTGGTTGTTTAGGTGATATGTATATAGATAATAAATCTGATATTTATGTCATTAAGAATTGTGTACTGATTTGTAAACTTACAATGTTTTTTACACTTATTTACTATACTATTGTACCAATGAAATCGATACCATACATGCTGCTGTATCCAGAAACATAACCAAAGAAACAAATATGTATTTAACATAGATAGAAGTGTGATATACTAGTGCACAAGAGATGCCGATCACTGATAATAGAAATGGAAATGGAAATGGCACAAAATGGGTAAATCAAAACACCTAAAACAATAATAAACAATAAAATCAAGACGCCTGCCTACCTCTAAATGCTTTGGCCAAACTATGCCATCAAACCCCCCCCATAATTACGCTAAAACTTTTGACTCTTCACCCAAATCCAAATGCAAAATACCCACCCCTCAACCCCTCGATCCTCCAACCCTCTCATCCCTCTGCTCCCTCCACCTCAAATAATCCTCACTGACCACCACCGGGACGCCGAATCCCCTCGGCCACATCCACCTGCCTTCTCCCTTCTCGCTCCATACCTTGACCATACCTTCAAAGGGCGGTTCGTCGCTTGTTTCTGGAGGAGATGGGAGTGTTTTATTTAAATGGGTATTTTCCTGATCGTCACCCTGGACCTCACTTTCTTCCACATCAACATACCCCTCTACCTCCGCTTCTCCCTCACCCTCCTGCTGCATCTCTAACCTCCCTCTACTCAACCTATATCTCCTCGTTGGCACTAACCCCACATCCTCCTCGTCTGAATAATAATCTTCTTCGTTCAACAACAACAATTTGTAAATATCGTCTTGTTTTTCAATTTGTACGTATGTTGAGCGGCCGAAGGTTATGGGTGTGAATAATCTGGTTTTTGGAGAGGGCCCTGAGGAGAAAGAGAGGCAGGATCCCATTATTAAGGGAGTGGACGTGGTTGTGGAGCAGGATGAATCCGGGTGGGCGTGGGAATGGGAGTGAGATCTGCGGAAGAGGGCTGTGAGGAGTGAAGACATGTAAGGGAGTAATGGGTGATATCGAGAAGGAAACTCAGATCGACGTCAAAAAATAAAGAACGGAATGGAACCGAAGATCCCAACGCAGACGGGGTGGATATGGACGGCAAAAGGTAACTACCAGTGACAAAGTAACAGACTTTCGATACTGAAGACCAAAAACAATTTTTTCTCCACAAACCAACAAATCTACATTCCAAACTCCAGAAATCCATTACTTTTATAAGCATCAACTTGATATCCTCTGCAAAGGCCTCAGAAATTACGAGGTTTTGTTGGAAGTGCGTTTGAACCTGGGCTGAGCTTAACGCCGACCTTAACAGAGCCGCACAGGACCTTGTCCTAACCGTAAAACAGGCAATTATGGTTACTACCGACCGCGATGAAGAAGCATGTAGTTTTCTGGGACTACTAGGGATCTGTTGGCTTGTAAAATGACCTTTAGGATAGGAATTTCTTTATGTGGTTGATGATGTTTCTGCGGGGTATGGGATCTGGAAAAGGGATTTTGGAAACGGTCTATTGTGAGGGAGTTTGGAAGAATATGTGCAAAAAATGCGTCATGTAACGCAAAGAGGGTAAATGTGGGGACCAATGTATGTATAATGAAGAAAGAGGAATCGATGACTTTAAATGGCTACACTAACTTGCGTTAGGAAGGTGTTCAGGAGCCGAATATTGTATCGAAACCTCGCGGCACTCTTCGTTGTTTGGATCTGGATTCAGACAAAACAAATACTAGTAGCGCATCAGGCTCAAATGCCTCGTCTCATGACACTATTTAATATATGGACTTGAGGTTCGACATTGAGATGGTATTCGAGGACATTAGAATGAAGGGGTGGGGAAATGTGCTTTCGTGTGGAAAGCCCCATATCAATCTCTCAAACCTAACCCAAATGGAATGCAGCATGTACCAACTTTGTATCTATTGCTGATGCGTGAATATTTCAAGGGTATCTATCTTGCTTCCACCCCAAGCAGTTAATGTTCTTCCGCCATTAAATCTTCCGGCGATTGCCCCATGTTGCATGGTTTGTCGTTCTTCTCGCAGTATCTTCTTACAGCTCTGAATATCGGCCATTCCACAAATCGTTCCGCATGTCCTTCACCCAATACCTCAATGACCGCCATCTCCCTTCGACTCCTTCTCTTTCTTCTGCTCCTTAATCATGGTATCGATCCTCGCAAAACTTCCATATCCCTCGATCAAACAACTTATCATCCATTTCCACCACACTGAACTTCCCCTCTTAATATTGTACTTCATGAGTCTGCTTCTATCCATCCAGATAACTTCCACCACATGTATTACAATCGTTGGGATAGCAACCTTATCAGAAATCCACAAGAAAGTGTTTGCACCCCCAGGAAACCATGGCAACACGTTGTTGTAGAAAAATGTACCAGGTACGATATATGATTTTGTAGCAAAGATAACCATGGTCATGAAACACAACCCGAAAACCATTCGATGGAAGAAGATCTTTGGAGGCTCGTATCGAGTGATGGTGTAGGGGGAGATGTTGAGACCAGTGCGACATTCACCATCCATAGCGACAAATCGAGGGCGGGCTTCTGCATAGGAAGACATGGGAGGCTCGAGAGGGATGGTGTGAGATTTACCAGATCTGGAGGAAATGGTGAGTGATAATAGAGAGATATCGAGGAGCGCTGGTTCAGAGGCTTCGCTGTTTGAAAGATGGCAGTAGTGTCGCAGATAGAGAGAGAGGGAAGAAGCGTGGTCTGCGTTCATATGTGTGAGGATACGAGCTCTCGTAGCAGCATCTTTCTCGGATGAGGCCATGATGATCAGATCAAATGTGTTGGGTAATCTTTCGAACAAAATCTGCGGGACACTTTGATAGAAACTTGACAATGTAGTTCTATGGTTGGATTCATCATGGTAGAACCTCGGCTCATCGGGAGTAACTATCCCCGATGTGTTACAGTAATATCATTACCATTATTTTTCTAAGACATTTCAGATTCTATATCGCATTCTCCAAAAGCTTATTAATTTGATAATCTAATTTGATAATTATAAAGATTAAAAAGTATTTATAAATATCCTTTTATTACTATATATATTATTCTCTTTCGAAAATTAATCGAAGATAAAAGAATATAGAGTATTATTCTTTTATATTATTTGTTTTTGATATTCTTTATATAATTAATAATAACG